TTGACATTTCCACTCTGGGAAAGAGACTCCCACTATCCGTCCCTCTCATAAATTTGCATACATCTCTTAGATTGCCCCTCAGCCTCCGACACTCTAGCAAAAACAATCCATGTTTGGCCAATGTGTATTACAGCCAATGCACTCCAATCCAGATAACATCCTGGTAAACCTCTTTTGCACCCTCTCCAAAGTCTCTATATCCTTCCTATAGCATGGTGACTAGAACTGCACACAATACTTCAAATATGCCCTAATTAAAGTTGTATACAGTTGCAACATGACTTGCCAATTTTTAGACTCACTGTCCTGACCGATGAAGGCAAACATGCAGTGCGCCTTCTTTAGCATCTTATCCACTTGTGTTGCCACTTTCAGAGAGCAATGGACACACATGTCAAGATTCCTCTGCATATCAATGCTCCCAAGGGTCATGCCATTTACTGTATACATTTTTCTTGCATTTGACCTCCCAAAATGCATCACCTCTCACTTTTGTGGATTAACCTACATTTGCAATTTTTCTGTCTAACTTTCCAATTGGTCCATATCCTGCTAAATCCTCTGATAACCTTCTTCCTATCCACAACTCCACCAATTTTTGTATTGTCAAACAACCTACATTTTCATCCCAATCATTATAAACAGCAGTGGTTCCAGCACTGATCGTTGTGGAACACCAGTAGTCACAGACCTCCAATCATAAAAACACCCTCCACAACTACCCTCTGTCTGCCATAACCAAGCCAGTTTTGTATTCAACTTGCCAACTCACCATGGATCCCATGCAATTTAATCTTCTGGACCAACCTAAAATGAGGGACCTTGTCAAATGCTTCTGTAAAGTCCAAGTAGACAACAACCACTGCCCTACCCTCATCTTAATCACTTCCTCAATAAACTCAATTAGGTTTGTGAGACAAGACCTACTCCGCATAGAGCCATGCTGGCTCTCTATAATAAATGCTTTCTTTTCCAAATGTGAGTAAACCCTGTCCTTAGGAAATCTTCTTCAATATTCTTTTGTAATATCCTTGTGTTCTCTTCATTAATTTATTTTATCTATCTTGGTGGATCAGTAAATTTGGCAACCATAATTTTGGTCCCTTTAACCTAATCATTTGTACAAATTATACAAATTTTAAAAAGTTGAGGCCCCGGCATTTGCTATCTTGTAACACAGAACTCGTAACGTCTCACCAGCAAAAATTGACCCATTTACGCCTGCTGCTTCTTGCTAACTTGGCATTCTCCTAACCATGCCAGTATGTTAATCCCTATACCGTGAGCTTTATTTCCTGTAATAATCTTTGTAGCAACTTATGAAATGCCTTATAATTATTTAAGTACAATACATCTATAAACACATGTTACTTCTTCAAAGAACTCCAATAAATGTGATTTCCCTTTCACAAAACCATATTGACTCTGCCTGATTTATCCTGAATTCACCTAATTGCCCTGTTATGATGCTATTAATAATAGCTTCTAAAATTTTCCCACGGACTGATGTTAAGCCAACTGGCCTTTCATTTCCCACTTTCTGTCTCCCTCTTTTTTTTTTCAAATAAAGGAGTTAACATTAGCAAATTTCCACTCTAACGGAACCTTCCCCAAATCTAGTAAATTTTGAAATATTATAACCAATGCATTAACTATCTCACTAGCCACTTCTTTTAAAGCCATCAGGACCAAGGGCTTGTTAGTTCACAGTTCCAACAATTTGCAAAGCACTACTTTTCTGTGATTATAATTTTCTAGAGTTCTTCCAGCTCCTGTTTTTGGGATATTATTTATATCATCTATAGTGAAGACCAATGCAAATCAGAAATGGTTCAATTAGTCTGCCATTTATTTTTCCATTATGAATTCCCTGGACTAATTTTCTGTACGACACAATGCTCTATTAATTCTTATTCCTTGTCCTTACATTTTTAAACTAGTTTTTCCTTTTATGCTATAATTTTTGTCTCCTTATTAATCTTTTAGTCTTTCTCTGCTATTCTTCGTATATTTGTTTTTTGCATTCCATTCAATTTCCTGACCGGCCATTCATCTTTGGACAATGTCCTTTTGCTGTAAGCGTAATACTATCTTTAACAGTTTTAACCAATGATTGATAGTGGGTTCATCCCTTGGAATTTTCGTTTCTTGGTTGAATGTTATCTATTCTCTTTATTCTGAAATATACCCTTAAGTATCTGCTACTATGTCTTTGACCTAAATTGGCAGTCCACTTTTGCTAGCTCTGCTTTCATACAATCATAACTGCCCTTAGTGAAGTTTAAAACATTATTTTTAGACATACTCCTACAAATGGAATCTAAAATCACTTAAGATCACTGTTACTTAGGAGTGCCTTCACTATGGTCATTAATCCTATTTCATCAGTTAATATCAGGTCTAGTTTGACCTGCTCTGTTTGGTGCCAGAACATGCCATTCTAACATTCTAAGAATTTATCATCTTGGTAGTTGTTCCCAATGATTTTTTTATGTTTAGATTAAAATAACTCATGATAAACGCTGTACCATTCTGCAAACTCCAAATATTCATTTTTTAATAGCCCCATCCTGTGTGGTACTGTTGGATAGCCTGTACACCACTCCTATTAATGACTTCAGCTCATTCCTAATCTCTACACAAACCATTCCTACGTCCTAGTTTCCTGAACTTGGGACTTCCTTCACTGTTGTGCTAATAACATCTTTAACCAACAGAAGCATCCCTCCACCTTTTTCTGGCTTCCTGTCCTTCCTAAATGTCACCCACCCTCCAATATTCAGGTCCTGATCGAGGTCATCCTGCAGCCATGTCTCTGTAATGGTTATTACAGCATACTTGTTTATTTAAATTTGCATTTTCAAATATGCCACTCATTTGATGAGACAGTAAACAGAAGCCTTATCTAATGAAATGCATGATAAAAAATACCTTTGCTCAAATTAAAGAAGACCAGAAGAGTTGTCCAATATTCCTCCCTCAACCACATAATAGGACTTCGACTAACCAAAATCATGTAGATAGCCAACAGAGAAACATAATTAGCATCTCACTACTCATCCAACTAGAACCACCTCAAGCTAATTGGGAAGTGTCCAGATGCCTAGCGCAAAACTAGCATTTCACTTGCTGGTGAATCAGCCTGGCATGTCTAACTCTGCTTATTTCAGATGTTGGAATACAAAGTCTATCTCAGTACTTTAAGCTTCTGAACTTCTATTGCGAGTATTATCTTAGAATATCACTGCCACAAAGAGGCTATTCTCCTCAAATTCATAGCTGTTCAATTTAATTGCAACACTGGATTCTCCGAAATAGAATCATTTAAACACCCATGTGATGATTTGATTGGTCACTAGTTAGTCAATAGATAACTATTATCCATGGGTTTGAAACTTGGATATTAAGAACCAGGAAGTCATCATTAATGAATTGGAGAGCAATCCAAAGCACCACAAAATGTGAGAGTGCACCTACCACCATGTTCTTAACAAAGACTGAACAAACATCAGATCTGGTCAACAAAGTGTGGAGCTGGAGGAACACAGCAGGCCAGGCAGCATCAGAGGAACAGGAAAGCTGACCCCTCTGAAGAAGGGTCCTGACCCAATATGTCAGCTTTGCTGTTCCTCTGATGCTGCCTGGTCTGCTGTGTTCCTCCAGCTCCACACTTTGTTATCTATGACTCCAGCATTGCAGTTCCTGCTATATCAGATCTGGTAAGGTGGTTTCACTGGTTGAAGATTGGAACTTCAAAAATGCCCAGTTGGTTTGCGCAGAAACAATTACGATAGGCATTAGGCCATTTATGAATAAAATAGCTTGTATTGTTACAGTAAACGCACATTTTATTTGTGCATTTTTTTTTGTTGTATTTTGGTAACCAGGCTCTAAGGAGTACTCCAGCAGCTGCCTTATGAGATCTGAGTTTTTTTAATCAGCAGTAATGATAATGTGGAATCAGTGTGATGCGAGGACTTACAGAGTAGGTTACAATATGTTGGTAAACCCAAAAAGTATGAATTGATAATACAGACTAGATATAAGTGCTGCCTGTTTCTTGCCAGCTTTATTAATGTCTTATTTCACTTCATCAAAAGACTAAGTAATTGAAGAGAGTGTCCATAATGGTGTTAAATGAGCAAGGTGAGCTGTGATACACTGCTAGGGGCAGATATGATTGTAAGGGGGCTCAGCAGGGTAGGAACTTTTGTGGGAATTTAGAACTAGAGTCAGTCTCAGAATAATAGATTGTCATTTCAAGATTGAAATATGAAGGAATTTTTCTGACAATCACAACTGTTTGGAATTCTCTACCTGACCTTTGGCTATTGAGTCATTTAATATATTCAGAGTTGAGATGGACACATTTTAGAATTATTGGGGAATAGATGGCTATGGTGAATGTATTAAGAAAGTAGACTTGAGACTAAGATCAGAGCAGTAATGAACTTATTGAATGGTGGAACTGGCTCAGGGGCTGTGTCACCTTCTTCTGCTCCTTGTGTTCTTGTGCCTCACACTGAGCAGGGTGGATGAGGCCAGGCTGTTGCATGTTGCTACAGGCAGCTGAGGGTGATTGCTGAAGACTAAGAGCAATGAATGAAGGTCATGCCCTGTGGGACTGGGGAAGGTGGACAGTTGGATACAGTGAGGGTGGGTGAGGATAGCAGTCGCAAATGATGAGCTCACTCTGGGTATAAGAGACTAAACTTGCCTGTCTGTGTGAATCTGTTTGGCTCAGTAGGGTGACAGGCTGTGACTTGTCTATTGCAGTCAGGATTGCTGCTTAACCATTTCATGTTCCATAGGCTGGCTTTATTGACTTCTTCAAGCCACTAACTGGAAAGCAGCTCCATCAAAGATCATATTACTATGGCCAGTCACAGTGTTTGAGCTGTGTACGAATACATATCCCTGAGCATTTCTGATCTGCAAAATCAGGCTGCAAGTTATCAACATTCCCTGACCCACATTTTGACCATTGCTCTATTCCCCAGGCCTGGATAACAGTGTGCAGAAATATCCATTTGATCAATGGCAGATGAATGGAGAGCAACTCCTGCGACTATCACAGCAAGACCTGGAGGAGCTTGGTGTGAAACGGATAGGACACCAGGAGCTGATTCTGGAGGCAGTGGAGCTACTGTGTGCACTGGTAAGGAAAGGGTATCAGTTTGAGTGTCATATGACTTATAACAAGGGGCTATGGATTAATTAATTCTGTTCCTGGAACTCCAGTTTACATCATGACTGTTACATACTTGTGTTAGTCAGTCACCGAATCCCTCAATTGGTTAGATGTAACTCTGGGAATGATAACCTGATACCTCACTGGCAATAACTCCTGACTGTGCTACCCTCACATATTTGTTTATGCTGGAATTGATATATTGGACTAGTCTCTTCCTTTTCATAAAGTTTAACTAAATGCACAAGAGAACCATGTATAACTGATTATTGGTGTAAAGAATCAGGAGTGGTTTAGTTGTTTGATGATATAATTTGTTTCAGGATGTGGTGTACATTCTCATTAAATGTAATGCACCATTTAAAATGCATGCCCTGTAATTATTCCCACAGATTCAATTTTGAACCAGTTCCCATAATCTGCCCAATTACTTCTGTCCTGTCCAAGTTTAATATTGGCAAACTTAATAGTTTTATTCTTGATTTCTTCATTTGTTTCACATCATCAAACATTAATATACACCAAACACAACATTAGTCCTGGAACCAAACATCTATTTATTGTACTCAGCTACTCACTGTTTTCATAATGGCAGAGTAACACTTATCAGCAGATGTGTAGCATTATTCCATCTACTTTTGTATCATTCTAAATTTAATAAGTCTGAATCCTGTTTGACGGTAGTTTCTTTGGTACTTTCTTGCATGCTTGTTTAGCATGTTGTTGCCCAAGTTTGACTTCTCTCTTGAACAGAAAATTCACAGGGTAACTCGTCATATGTCACAGCTCTGTTATTTTGCTGGTTTGCTGCAAAGCTAAGTTCTTGCTACTCCCTTTGCATCATCTGAGTCAACAAATTATTTATCTACTTCATAGCTCCCCTCATATGAAATGCTTTTCCGTCTTCTAATGTCATGCACCGTTTGAAAGCCCTTGTAAAAGCATAGGGTCTTATATCTACTGAATGATCTTGTCAGCTAACTACAATATATTCTCAAGGAAGTTAATAAATTTATCAAACAAGATCCCTCCAATAAACCTTATTCTCCTGGACACCACCCCACGGCCTCCTACCCTCCCTCGACCTCTTCATTTCCAAGTGCCGTCGCAACATCGATCGCCTCAACCTCTCCACCCCTCTGACTCACTCCAACCTCTCCCTCACAGAACGTGCGGCCCTCCGCTCCAACCCTAACCTCACCATCAAACCCGCAGATAAGGGAGGCGCAGTAGTGGTATCACACACTGACCTTTTACACAACCGAGGCCAGGCACCAACTCTCTGACACCTCCTCCTACCGTCCCCTCAATCATGATCCCACCCCTGACCACCAAAACATCATCTCCAGACCATCCATAACCTTGTTACCTCAGGTGACCTCCCGCCCACAGCCTCCAACCTCATCGTTGCCCCACCCCGTACCACCCGTTTCTATCTCCTTCCCAAAATCCATAAACCTGACTATCCAGGCCAACCCATTGCCTCTGCCTGCTCCTGCCCCACTGAACTTATCTCCACTTACCTCGACTCTGTTTTCTCCCCCCTGGTCCAGGAACTCCCCACCTATGTCCTGGACATCACCCATGCCCTCTCCTCCTCCAAGACTTCCAATTCCCTGGACCCCAACACCTCATCCTCACTATGGACATCCAATCCCTGTATACTTGTATACCCCACGCAGATGGCCTAAAAGCCCTCTGCTTCTTCCTCTCCCGCAGACCCAACCAGTCCCCCTCTACCAACACCCTCATCTGCCTAACCGAACTCTTCCTTACCCTTAACAACTTCTCCTTTAACTCCTCTCATTTCCTACAGACTAAGGGTGTGGCCATGGGCACCCACATGGGCCCAAGCTATTGCTGCTTCTTTGTAGGATACATGGAACAGTCCCTCTTCCGCTGCTACGCTGTCACTATCCCCCACCTCTTCCTCTGCTACATTGATGACTGTATCGGTGCTGCTTCGTGCTCCCATGAGGAGCTTGAACAGTTCATCAACTTTACTAACACTTTTCATCCCAACCTCAAATTTACCTGGACCATCTCTGATACCTCCTTCTCCTTCCTGCACCTCTCCGTCTCCATCTCTGGTGACCACCTCAAAACTGAAATCTATTTCAAGCCCCCACCGACTCCCACAGCTACCTAGACTACACCTTCTCTCACTCACCTTCCTGCAAGAATGTGATCCCCTACTCCCAATTCTTCCGCCTTCCTGCGTCTGCTCCCAAGAGGGGGCATTCCACTCCCGCACATCCCAGATGTCCTCCTGTTTCAAGGACCATAATATCCCCGTCTCCAGTGATTGAAAATGCCCTCAACCGTATCTCTTGCATTTCCTGCACTTCTGCCCTCACATTCCCTCCCCCCCCAACAAAAACAAAGACAGAATCCCCCTTGTCCTCACATACCACCACACCGATCTCCGCATCCAACATATCATTCTCCGCCACTTCCGCCATCTACAATCCAACCCCACAACCGAAGAGATATTTCCCTCCATACCCCTATCTGTCTTTCATAGGGACCACTTTCACAGGGACCACTTTCACCACAACTCACTCATCCACTCCACACTCCCCACTAACCCCACCACTCCAGGCCCCTTTCCCTGCAACCGCAGGAAGTGCTACACCTGCCCCTAGACCTCCCCCCTCACCTCCATTCAAGGTACAAAACAAATCTTCCATATCAGACAGGGGTTCGCCTGCACATTCATCAGCTTGGTCTACTGTATCCGCTGCTGCCAATATGGCCTCTACATCGGTGAGACCAAGCATAGACTTGGAGACCTCCAGTCGCGAACCATTTCAACTCCCCCTCCCATTCCTTAGACGACATGTCCATCCTGGGCCTCCTGCAGTGCCACAACGATGCCACCCGAAGGTTGCAGGAACAGCAACTCATATTCCGCTTGGGAACCCTGCAGCCCAATGGTATCAATGTGGACTTCACAAGCTTCAAAATCTCCCCTCCCCCGACCACATCCCAAAACCAGCCCAGCTCCTCCCCGCCTCCCTAACCTGTTCTTCCTCCCACCTATCACCTCCCTCAAGCACCACCCCCATCTCCTACCTACTAACCTCATCCCGCCCCCTTGACCTTCCGTCCTCCCTGGACTGACCTATCTCCTCCCTAACTCCCGACCTACACTCCCCTTTACTGGCTCCATCCCCGCCTCTTTGACCTGTCTGTCTCCTCTCCACCTATCTTCTCCTCTATCCATCTTCTATCCGCCTCCCCCTCTGTCCCTATTTATTTCAGAATCCCCTTCCCCTCCCCCATTTCTGAAGAAGGGTCTAGACCCGAAACATCAGCTTTCCTGCTCCTCTGCTGCTTGGCCTGCTGTGTTCATCCAGCTCTACACCTTGTTATCTCAGATTCTCCAGCATCTGCAGTTCCTAATATCTCCTAGACATGGAGAACGTTTTGTAGAGCATCTGCACTCTGTACACAACAAATGACAACACCTTCCAGTCGCCAACCATTTTAACTCTCCCTCCCACTCCCTGGGTACATGTCCATCCTGGGCCTCCTCCAGTGTCACAATGACACCACCCAGCAACTGGAGGAGCAACACCTTGTATTTTGCCTCAGGAGTCCCAGATGGCCTAAACATGGAATTCACCAGTTTTAAAATCTCCCACCTCTGGCCTCATCCCAAGTCCAAGCCTCCGTCTTATCCCTGACTCCTTGACCTGACACAACCTGTCCGTCTTCTCTCCCACCTGCCTGTCTCACCCATCTCACTGACCAATCCCCACCATTCCTTACCTGCACTCACCTATCGCCATTCCACTTACCTTCCCCAGACCCACCCCTCCTTTCTCTATTGATTTCCCAGCTCCCTCCGCCTTCCCCATTTCTGAAGAAGGGTCCCGACCTGAAACGTCAATTTTCCTGCTCCTCTGATGCTGCCTGGCCTGCTGTGTTCCTCCAGATCCACACTGTGCTGTCTCTGACTCCAGCATCTGCAGTTCTTGCTATCTCTATCTAATATGAAGCTATGCATTTTTTTTTGACCTGATATTTTGCTTTTCCCTCTTCCATGATATTTTCAAAATATGAACAAACCTTTTAATTTTAATTTTTGGCTGGTGCTTAAGCCACCAATTCTATTTCAAGAGATTTCTGTTGATTGTTTTGCTGTGCTATGGTGAGAGGATTCTTGCTTCAAAACTAACCCATAAAGAACAGAAACCCAAAAAACTGTGGATGCTGTAAATAAGAAACAAAAACAGAAGTTGCTGGAAAAGCTCAGCACATCTGTGAAAAGAAATCAGAGTTAATATTTCAGGTCCGTTGACCCTTCCTCAGAACTGATGATAGCTAGGAAAACGTTGGTTTATATGCAGAAGATAGGGTGGGGGGAGGGGTAAGGAGTAAACAATAGGCAGGGATAGAGCCCAAAGAGAGAGAAGAGCAGTTGGATAGACAAAGGAGTGGGTAACAGTCTGGCTAGGAGGACGAATAGCTGTTAGTGGAGACTGACAATGGTAGTGTAAGAAGTCAGAAGTCACACGACACCTGACGAAGGGGCTACACTCCGAAACCTTGTGATCTCAATAAACCTGTTGAACTACAGCCTGGTATGGTGTGACTTCTAACGTTGTCCACCCAAATCCAACATCAGCACCTCCACATAATGAGTCGTGTGTAATGGCAGACTGTGATAACAAGACTTGGTGTATGGGGTAGGGGGCTGGGACATTGGAGAGTTCAGGCCTTAAAATTATTGAACTCGATATTGAGTACGGAGGGCTGCACAGTTCCCAAGGGGAAAATGAGGTATTGTTCTTCTAGCTTGCCTTGAGCTTTGCATAAAGAAAAGAAACTAACTGTTGATAACAATAGAATGGAGAGGGTCTGGACAATGTTGCAGGTTAGTCCATCAGCCCCTATTCTAAACAGATAGTCACTAGTTTATGTACTCAGCCAAGAAATGAGAAAGTTGCTACAACTTCTCACAAATCTCTAGTTCCATCCCAGATAATACTTGTGAATTTTGACATAATTAATTCTGATTATTACTAATAGGTGGAACTAAAATCTGTTGGATTGGATTGGATTTGTTCTTTTTCATTTAAACTTCACTATTCCATATGTGCTACCACAAGCAGCCAAAAGAATATCATAGATCAAATCATTAGAATCCCTACAGTGTGGAAACAGGCCCTTCGTCCCAACAAGTCCATGCCGGACTGTCAGAGCATCCCACCCAGACCCATCGTCAAAAACCCACCTAATTTACACATCCCTGAACACTATGGGCAATTTAGCATTGCCAATCCACCTAGCCTGCACATCTTTGGACTGTGGGAGGAAAGCTGAGCACCCAGAAGAAACCCACACAGACACAGGGAGAATGTGCAAACTCCACACAGACAGTCGCCCAAAGGTGGAATCGAACCCGGGTCCCTGGCCCTGTGAGGCAGCAGTGCTAACCACTGAGCCAAAAAAATTTGAAATGAAGTTGGGCACTAAATGACTACCTAACTGCTGTTTGCAGATTGCCCAGTGCCCGTGCTTCTTATATTGCAGTTCAATGAATATGATTTAGTATTGTAATGCTGATCTTTCCAGTGCATTACAGTCTGACCAAGGCAGAATTAGTAAGTGCAGTATACTATGTGGTTTGCATGGATTTTCGAGGTGTGAATTAGTCCTTGGTCTGAATATGGCCCAGTATTCCTGGGTATCAAGAATGCTACCCTTTGTGTTTCTTTCTAAATGATCTTGTCTTTGCTTCAGACCTATGATTTAGAGACGGAGAATTTGAAGATTTTGATGGAGAAGTTAAGAGCTGTCTCTGGAACCCTTCAGTCCTTCATTATCAGTCGGAGGAAGGTCAGCCCAGGTCCACAGAAACCTTCTGGAGACCTCCTTACCTCTGTCATAGATCTTCTTCAAACCACCAAAGCCATCTTTTCCTGGCTGAACAGGTACTTGAGTAAATAAACAGTGCAAATATCCCTACTGATTAGCATGATCTGTCAAGAAATGACCAGCCTTCCTGTTTATTCTCGTTAAAAGTTTTACATTATGATAAAATTGTTGGCTCAGTAAGTTGGATTTTAACAGAAAGGCTGTCATTGTGCAACAAAGAATCAACACTGTGATGATATCAGCAACTTGCATTTATATCAGGTGCCTCCAACATTGTAAAGATGGTTCAGTGAGAAAATAGAGTGAATAATGATATTTAAGGAAGAATTAGTAGAAGTGGCCCAAAACAATGTTTGGAGAAATGGTTTATTCAGAGTATTTTCTAAGAAGGAAATAACAATAAAGAGGTTGTGGAGGAGGAACTTTCAGACAGTAGGATCAAGGGGTGAAGGCTTCATCATCAGTTTGCAGTGAAAGGAAGGGATGCTGAAGAGAGGCTGTAAAGGTGGAAAAATATCCAGAATTAGGCTGGAACAAAACCATGAAGGGATTTCTGAATGAGATAGAAGTTTATAAACTTTGATACTTTGGTGGGATGAGAGGTAGTGCAGATGAGTAAACAAAAAATATGATTAGAATGTGGCTTAGAGAAGTTAGGGTGATGTCATAAAATGTTAGATATGTGGATGTCTGTGGGGATTGAGAGTAAAATTGACTAAGTCTGAATAGGTTTTTGCTCATCAGTTTTAGAGAATTTGAGGCCTTAATAAATTTATAATCCTGCTTCTCTTCTGCCAAACTAGGTACCCTTTTATATGCATAATCAATTATTCTGCCATGAAGAAAGAGATCATCAGGTTATGCATGGAGCTGGCAGAAACTATTCACAAGGTTTGTCACATATACCAAGTCCAGTGTAATTCATAAGTTAAATAGAACTTGAAGCACAAAAATAGGTTATTCAACCCACATGCATGTCAGTATTTATTTTCTCCATGACCGTCAAGATCTCCATGTCAAAATATCTTCTTTCTCCCTTCTCCCTTGTACTTATCTAGATGTTCCCTTGATTGCATTTCTGTGTGAAATGTTTTAAGATACTGATATGAACAGGTATTGAAAATACAAAGATTACTTTCTTTTGCATTTCTCCTCTTCTCTCCTAAAAGTGCTAGTTTTTTTCCTGCGGTACAGTTCTGTAGTGACAGCTGCCCAAGTAGCCATGTTATTTTCTGAGGTTGGTACTGGTGGATGTTGACTGTCAGACTTTGGCCCAGAGGGTGATGTGATGAAGCTAATCAATTACTCAGTCATGATTTCTAATAAATTAAATGTTTTGTTCATTCTTCCTCTTTTGCACACAGAAATAGCTCAGTGCTTTAAAAGATGGGAGTTACTCTTAGTAAGTATTTAGATGAAAGACATCAGTCTTAAATGCCAACCAACACTTTTTCTGTTCTGTCAATTTTTGCCACTTGTATATCTTATCTATATCCAGTTCTAAGGCGCGTCTTTGGTCTTCTGAGCTTTTCTTTCTAATGCTTTATATTTTTATTTCTCCATGTTCAAAACCAAACTGTTTTTAGACATGAAAGGAATGAAGAGATGCATAAACAGGTTTGGAAAATGAGGTTGAAGTAGAAAATCAGTCATGAGCTTTATTGAATGGTGGAGCTGTCTCAAGTGGTTTTATGGTCTACTTCTCCTATTGCTTGTGTCCCTTCCCCATCTAGTTATCACTGTCTGCTTTGTGAAGTAGTGGTTTATGTTAAAACTGCAATGTAAATCCAGGTATGTATGATGGCACCGAATAAGAAGTACAGAGGTCAGGAGAGACAGGACGAGGAGAGATTTGCAGTAATTTTTTTTTTTTATACAGGCCTCTTCTGTCAAAGATCTACTTGCCTTTGTTCGTGGTTGTAAATTAATTGAACTGCAGTTAATAGATTGTGAAACTCACAGAAGAGGAGCTCTTGTGTCATACTAACAAGCCAATGATGCAGTATGTGTGCAGGCAAAGCTGAGATGTAGAAATGCAGCTCCTCACTTGAAGTGCAGGCTGGATGAATTTCTGTGGAATTAGCTGCAGGGAGTAACAGCCAGTAGGACGTCTTCCTCAAGTTGGGGCCCCTAATGGAGTGAGGAACCTGTCAATCCAAATGGCAAAGGGAATTATTCAAAGGGAGACAGCAAAGACGTGTGCATGAGCCTATATGCATGTGCACATTTGGGAAGATGCAGGGAAGTTTCTTTGCATTTTTGCATCATCACCTTTCCACTTTCATCACCCACCAAACCCCCTCACCCACTCCTGTCTTCAGTCCATGTATCCATGTATAGTTTTATTCCCAATTTTCTCTTTGCACCCTTATCCCAATTGCTGAGTTACTGCTTCACAAGTCGTGAATATTGTCATCTGTTGCTCACCCAGGTGCCCATGTTCCATGCATGAGCGACTATTTAACTGTGGAGAGTATTACAACTAGTCTAGAAAGCCAGAAAGATGCACATACCAGTCAGAGGATCAGCAGCAGTATCCCTCATTAACTCTAAGGCAATTGGAAACATTGTAACACTATGCTCCCTCCAGATTTGAAATATGCTACTTTTACACACATTGGGAGCATCCTGAGAAAATTTATGTAAACTTTAATAGAAGATGTATTTGGAATAGCATTCCTCAACATCTGGAAATGAGGATCCCACAGAACTCAATATTACCAATTAATGGATTTACAACGAGTGCATTCTGGAACTTCATTTCAATGTTAGTTCTCTCAGTCACTAAGCTGTTACGCTGGTACTGAGACCCACTGTGAGGTTTGCCAGGCTAAATTATTATGATATTTTCTTTCAAACCTTATATTTGACTCCTGTTTTGTTTAGGAATGCAGCCAGACAGAGAAAGAAAATCGGATACTGAGCATTGTAAGTATAAATTAATATTGATTTTCTATTACATTATAATTAGTCTTTCCAGTAAACATTTGTGTCCCAAATCTTTATTATCAAATGGATGTTAATTGCTGTGCTAACTCTTGCTCATAATTTCGGCTGGTACTATACTGGAGCTCTGAGGGAATGCAGCTGTCAGAAGTATGCTGTCTTTCAGGTGACACTTTAACCAAGGCCCCATCTTACCCTTTGGCGAACATAAAAAATCCTATGCCTTTATTCAAGGAAGAATGGAGAAGTACTCCCTATTGCTCTGGCCACTTTATTTTTTTTGCTAATGTCACTCAAACAAGTTATCTGGCTATAATTGTAATGTTTAAGGGAGTTTGCTGTGCAGAAATTGATTGCCATGTTTCCTGCAAGACAACAGTGAAATTAGTCATTTCATCATACAGAACTTAAGCCTTGCTGCAAAAGGCACAAGTTGGCAAAACTTTTTTGTCTTCCGCTATTCAGGACCATTTCCAAGAAATACCAATATATAGGTAAAGTAACGTGTACTGTGTGACAGGAGAGTGCTGATTGGTTTGCAAATTGATTCTGATTGGTAAGGCTTTTGCATGGAGAATGCATCAGTTAATAATGACTGACAGTTAATCGTTGAACTTTGTTTTAATTTTAAGTCATGTAGCTTTTCTTTATCCATCAGAGTCCACTAGCCAGCCACTCAGCACTTTCATTAGGAATAAATGTTACTTTCCATTTACATTCATAGAATCATACTGTACAGAAGAGACCCTTCAGCCCGTTAAGTCTGTAGCATCAAAAATATACTACTACCTACAGTAGTCCCCCTTCCCTGCACTAGGCCCATAGCCTTGAATGTTATTGCACTTCATGCGCGCATCCAAGTTTTTTTTTAAAGAGTTGAGGCAGAAAACCTCACAAATCCTCTCAGGCAGTGCATTTCAGGCATCCCCCACCCGCTGGATGAAAAGTTTTAATTTCTCAACTACTCTCTAAACCTCCTTCTTTCACTTTAAAATGGTGCCCCCTTATTGTTGACCTTTCAGCTAAACAGAACAGCTCCTTTCCATTCACCTTGTCCATGCCCCTCATAATCTGATACGCCTCTATCATGTCCCTCCTCAACCGTTTCTATTCCAAAGAAAATAGCCTGAGCTTATCCAGCTTCTCTTCATTAGCTGAAATGCTCTATCCCAGCTAACATTTGATGATTCTCCTTTGCACCTTCTTCAGTGCAATCACATTCACATTGATATTTATTTCAAATTGTGATGAGTGTAAGATGAACAGCTTCGACAAAATGTGTTTTTTTTTCAGCAATACTTCAAAACTGCACCTTTTGTCTGAAAAATGTTGCAAAGGATGTCTTGAGGTTGTGGAAAGTGTTATTTGAATGCCGGGGATCTAACTATTGAATGTAATATAATCATGTTTGATATTGAGCATTATCACAATTTTGCTTATACATACATTTTTAAGCGATTTTGACTTGTAAGCAATTGATTGCTTAAACAAGAATTTGGGAGAGATAGTTGTTTCTGGTACATGTTAATATTTGTTACCAAAAAGCATATCCAATGTTATTAATAAGAAAGCCAGATGGTGTCAGATAAGGCTGTTATCTGTCTACCTATTTTCACATGTTATGATGCACCTCTGGGGCAGGTAGGACTTGAACCCATACCTACAAAAGACTGGTTAGTCATAATGTCTTACATTTTTTCTTCATGAGCATTAATTTACTGAGCTACACTTTGTGTAGCTTGTAAGTCAACAACCATAGTTTCAGCCTGTTCCTATCTATAGGAGTGTAAAGATGTTTTCGAAACAACCTGTTCCTGAACTTTCCACATAAATAACTGATGACTTGTCCTGGATTTCCCATGTAAATGTGACAGTCAAGAAGGCACAACAGCGCCTCTTCTTCCTCAGGCGGCTCAGGAAATTTGGCATGTCCATGAGGTCCCTCACCAACTTCAACAGATGTACCATTGAAAGCATACTGTCCAGGTGCATAACGGCCTGGCATGGCAACTGCTCTGCCCAGGACCATAAGAAACCACAGAAGGTGGTGTGCACAGCCCAGACCATCACGGAAGCCAACCTTCCATCCATGGACTCCATTCACACGGCTTGTTGGTGCGGAAAGGCTGCAAACATCATCAAAGACCAACCGCACCCAGTAATGACCTCCTACAACCTCTTCCATCAAGCAGAAGATACAGAAGCCGAAACACACAGATGAACAGGTTCAGGAGCAGCTTCTCTCTGGCCATTATCAGACTGTTGAATGGACTCTAGCCTCAAATAATGTAACCTGTATGCCTCTAAGTCTTTTTGATCTGTACATCCTTTGCTTGCTGTGATCTGCCTATACCGCTCGTAAACAAAGCTTTTCACTATATTTCAGTAACATGACAATCAATCAATCAATCAATCAATCAATCAATCAATCAATGTTACTACACGTTGGAGCAGGTGAAATTTGAACCTGGGATTCCTTGCTCAGAGGTAGGAACACTAACACTGCACCACAAGTTCCCCTGTAGGAGTGCCGATGGAATACCCAGTTATATTTGCTAGCTGCATACTATTAAACAATTTACATAGATTTTACGCTCAGCAGATAAGGCAGTATGTGTAAGCAAAGGAATAAACCTTTCAGGTCAATAACCCTTTGTTGAATTTGATTATAATCCAAAGGTTGGAGAGGAAGGATGACCCTTTAACCATAAATTGTTCAGTTCCATTTTGATTAAACGGCTTTGCAACCATGAATGAGTTACATTAAGGAAATTCAGCAGAATGGTAATTTTCATATCACATACATTGTAAACAGCTCCAATCAGCTGTACACCTGGAATATTACCTACCATTTTTATTTCAGAAAAAAACTTTATTTCCACCATTTTCTGATTTTACAACATGCTGTTCCTTGTGTTTTTTTTTACCCTGATTGTAATAGTTATCATAGAATCATATAAACTTGCACAGAAGTTGGCTATTCAACTCAACATCTCTCTGCTGGCTCTTTGGTAAAACAGGCATTGTTGGTGCCACATCCCCTCTTTTCATCTGTAATTTCTACATCTTCAAATGTTGCCATATAAAATTTATTTATAGTACTAATTTCCATCAGCTTTTCAGATGAAGTGTTCTACATTCCCAACAGTTGGCCAAAGGAAAAATAATCTCCTTATTTGCCCTTTAGATCTTTTACCAGTGTTTTGTGCTAATATTTATGACTTTATGTAAGTATTCTTTTTAATTTCCCTTGGAGCGTGAAACTATATTTTAATATACTTAATAGAAACTACCTGAAACCAATGGAAGGAAAAAAAATTGCCACTTTGTATTCATTAATATCACTCAAAACTAGTTTTTCACTCCAACATTAAGTTGCAAATGACCTCAAACTGTATCTGTATTTCATAAGATAGATTATTATTAAAGAGCAATGGAATTTCCCCCATTGAATAGATAATTCTGCAACTTGGTTTTTAGTTTATTCTTAGCAAGGTTTCCCTCCACTACATACAGCTTGAACTTTTTGGAGGGGGCTGGGGTGGTTATGGGGGTGTGGGTGGGATTGACTGCTAATCCAGTCCCACTCCAGTTTGGTCCTTGCTAGGTTTGCGGAGGTAACTCTGGGAGCCTTTCCTATGGGGAAATGTTTGTTTTTGCTTGTCACCTTCCCAAAAACACATGTTGCCAAATCCACCACTTTTGCCCGAGTGTCTGTCACACAATTTTAATGTTGGAAACTAACTATGGTGTTGTACCTTTAAAATGCTGAAATGTTGCAAAATTCCCTGTTGTACCTAAAAAAGATACAGCATTGTTTCTGGACATGTGGTTAGTTATGTTTGGACTTAATGATATCTGTCTCTCAGTGCAGGGAACTCTCCAGTTTCTGCAAAAACATGGTGATGGGTAGCCCCGAGGTGTTGGTGAACCAATGCGCTTGCCTGGAAACTATTCATCTACTCACCACCTCACCTGGTCAGAGTCTGGTGAGTACTCCATGGTGCCCTGAATGATATGGGGGGGGTTGGATTTTGGAGAGATTAGTAGCTGTGGACTTAATTTTTATCTAATTTTTAGCTCTTTAACATAGCGTGATCAGAACATCTCCTGAATGTTTGACAACATTTCTCACACGTTTGCATTCCAACCCTCACAAATGCATATGTGTTAAAATGCAGTTTGTGTGTTATTTAAACACTTTGAGAGTTATCATCCAGCTCGGCTGGATGCATCCCCTTTGAAGTGAAGGCTTAGATTCAGCACCAGTTGAGATTTTGAGCATATGCTCTAGGCTAACACACAACTTCAGTGGTAATGGAGTGCTGCATTGCTAGAGAAAGTCTTTCAGTTAAGACATTAACCACGAAAATGTCTTTCAGCTCTGGTTCAAGTAGGTGTTAGATTACATTCTGCTCCTGTTACTTCAAAGCCATTCTTTGCTCCAAAAAAAGTCCTTGCTTTGTTTTTTTTTCTGGCTTTCGTTAAAGTCCTTTAACTCAGCAAAGTGAATTTTCAAATAAATGTTGTAACCCTGAGTACTGCTACTTCGATAAACTGTACCAGCAGCCAGAATAACTCAGTGCTTTGTTTATGTGATCCAAGCCAACTCTGAGTCAGTCCATGAGCAGAGGTTTCAGCAAAAAGAAGTGTTTTTTTGTAGATCCATTTATATAAATCCGATTTGCTGAGGCACATATATAGTTGTAATTTCTTTCACTTGACCATGTAGTGTCGTATGTTTGTGTGTTTATATATTGTTTTTGTGTGAACAGGGGTGCATGCATTTAGAGTTGAGGTATTTTCTCTCATTCCTCCAAAGGACTAGCAACCCCACATGCTACTACTAGCTCTGCTATGAGTACATTCTGTTCAGTGGTCTTTTCTACCAACATTTCTCAAGTCAGTTGAAATGTAATCAAACTGTTAAATGTTTGGAGAAAATGCCACTAGCACTCATGGATACACTGTAGAGCGGTTTCTGGCAGTTACAGTGTGACATTTTTAGCTTTCAATCCATGAGTGAATGACTTGTTTTATTTCTCTGAACCCTAATTAGCTCTTGTTTATACATATGTATCTCTCTGTCTCTCTCTCTCTCTCTTTTTTTTTTCTTTCTTTCTTTCTTTTTCTTTCTCTTTCTCTCTCATTCCTATTGTTCCTATACGTACAACTGGCATACTGTAATTGTTCTCCTCTGTACTTTCCCTTTTCCTTGGTTTTTCACTATTGATATTGCTCAAATTGTCATTGCATTGCCAGGAATTCACAAGTCAAGGAACTCCTGACTTTCCTCAGTTGTTAGCCTACAATCTCCAGCCTTTTACAACCCAAGCTGCGTATCAAACAATCACTATTTCCTGATTTCTCTCCTAGCTCCTTCCCCTTCTTTCAACCTGAACCTTGTTACCTGACCTTTGAGTCATGACTCATCAGTTAATTTCTCAATTATTGATTTTAAGAAAATAGTGACATGATCAATGTCCCCTCTAAGCTGTGGAGCCTCTTGGAGGTTTTGCGGATGCTGCTTGGCATGCTGATGTGTTGCCTTCCAGTTCCAGAAGCCACTAGTTGCATAGACGTTGGAAATCGGAATGAAGGCTGAAGGAAATTACAGGGATTGTAGGATATGATCTAATTTCATTAGGTTTCCTGTCCAGCACTTGCATCTCCAAGCTGTATATCTTTAAAACTTAAGATATTCACTGTACCTTCAATGGTATGCTATGATCTAATTTCATTGCTAGAAAGCCAGAAGTAACTCCCACCCCTGGAATTTAAGGTCTCCCTTTTCCCCCTATCCCTGGTTATTCACCCATTTGGAATGCAGTTAGTAAGATGCATTATTGATTTCTCCTTTTAAAGCTTAGTCTAAAGCTTTAGTGCTGACTATAAGCAGGTCTGATTTTAATTCCCCACTCAGAATTTAATGTCAGTTTGAGATGGACAATTTGGAATTGAAATTGTCTGAATAAAATCTATAATTACAGTGCCTTTATTTAAAATATTAACTACTCTACAGATGAATTCTGTTTCAAATAATGACTTATTGACTAATATCCCTTTTATCTCCTGTGCTGCAACAATCTATTCTTACTAGGTACTGTTTCACAGGCTTCAACAGCTCTCTTATACCACTGCTACATTGTTGCCTAGGTTGCCCATAAACAATGAGAGTAGACAGGCAAGTCAAACATAGTGGAGCTGGGATGTATAGGGAGGTAAGTCTCTATTGTGTTCACCTGGCAACCAAACATGTGCATGCACCACCAAGCATTACTTCATAGCGATGAGGAGTGGGATTCTTCTTTATTCATTATCCTTCTAGCTTATGATACAGATATAAGTTGTTGTTTTTCCAGCTACCTGGCTAAATTTTAAATGTCTTTTTTATTTTAGACTTTGTGCCTTTTCTAACTAGGGTCACCAGGTATTTGATTGAAATTAGCGAGTGATGAATATATTGTAACTGCATTAGAGTATTTAGTTACCCTCTTTACCCTACTCTTAATTAAATTTTCACATCTGTATCAAGTTAGCCTTGGAGAGGTGCCAAGGCAGCATAGGCAGTTCAAGTATCCAATGATGTTTTACATTGTTTCAAATGTGATGGGTTATGTAGAAAGTTTTAATTTTGTTCCTGCCTGAAGATAGGAACTTACCATGTTCTGGTCCATGAATACCCCATATAAATTCATGTTTACCTGAGGGTTGCCAAGTTTTGCTGTATGGTTTGGGATTCTTGTCCAATATTTATACCTGTATACACAGCGAAGAAGGTTATCTAAGAATGACAAAGGGATCTTGATCAACTGGGCCAATGGGCCGAGGAACACAGATGGAGTTTAATTGAGATAAATGTGAGGTGTTGCATTTTGGTAAGATGAACAAGTGCAGGACTAGCACAGTTAATAGTAGGGCTGTGGGAGTCTTGTAGAACAGAGAGACCTAGGTAATCAGTAACACAGTTCATTGTCTACCTGTGGTGCAACTTTCAAAGTGGTAAAGAAGGTGTTTGGCATGCTTGCCTTCATCACTCAGACTATTGAGTTTAGGAGTTGGGATGTCATCTTGCAGTTGGTGGGGCCACTTTAGGAGTACTGTGTACAGTTCTGGTCACCCTGCTGTAGGAAGGATATTATTAAATTAGAGAGGGTTCAGAAAAGATTTACCAGGATGTTACCAGGACTGGAAGGTTTGAATTATAAGGAGAAGCTGGATAAGCTGAGACTTTTTTCTCTGGAGTGTAGGAGGTTCTGGGGTGACCTTCTAGAGGTTTGTAAAATCATGAGGGGCATAGATAAGGCAAATAGCAAATGTCTTTTCCCTATTTGGGGAGTTCAAAGCCAGGGGGCATAATTTTAAGTTCAGAGGAGAAAGATTTAAAAAGGGACCTGAGGAGCAACCTTTTTACACAGAGGGTGGTTCAAATGTGGAATGAACTGCCAGAGGAAGTGGTAGATGCAGAAACAGTTACAACATTTAAAAGGCATTTGGACAGGTACATGAATAGGAAAGATTTAGAAGGATATGGGCCAAGTGCAGGCAAATGGGATTAGTTTAGTTTGGGAAATTTGGTCAGCATGGACAAGTTGGACTGAAGGGTCTGTTTCTGTGCTGTATGACTCTCAGACTATCTCTAGGTTGTAAATAATCTAATTTATGGTAACTGAATAACTTTAAAATCTTATCAGACATTCATTCTGAAATCAGGATGCTCACTCAAACTATTTTATAGTGTTAATTCAGACTTGTAAATGAAAATTTAATCTTAAGTTCTAAAACAAATTGTGAGTTGCTCTGCAAGTTGTTTGATTGAGGGTTGTGACAGCTGTGTCTAGCACTGACATATACGTTGACTGGGAATATTACAGATGGCCAAGATATTAAATGTCAGAGGTATTTTAGTACATTGCATGCAACTGCTGCACATTTATGGCTTCAGTTATGACGAATGCAGTTCTCAAGCTATTAGTCATTTTCTGTTTTTCCTTACTTATGCTTGGATTAAGGACTGTTCCTTTACATTGTTCAGGGAATTGAAATCAAGTCGAATAATGGGCTGCATTTTATCACAGGAACCACAGTAAATGTAAGTGAAATTTATTCATCCTACGTTTTCTTCATCAGTCACATTGTATGTATATATATAATTCCTGTTCTGTTTCTATGTATCCCTGTGAACGTCTATCTATCTTGCATCTGCTCTCTGCTGATTTCTGTTAACCTGCTTATCTGTTTCTGTCAACTTGTACCTGTGTGAATATTAATGAGGGTTTTTGTGTGTGTGTCGGAGACACTTTGTCCATTTCTATTGTAAATTATTCTTGTAATATAAGTGACACTGGCAAAGTTGTTTATTACCTTGTGTAGTTTCCCTGAAAAGCTGTTGATGGACACTGTTCTTGAACTTCTGCTAACCTGTTTGTGTGTGTGTTTCTCTCTCGATGTAGGCTTGTTGTTCTGTACATGAGTGTGTGTCTGTGAATTTCCCTCCTATTTTTCTGTCTCCATTTGGTTGTGACATTTTTATTTGTAGTCTTGTATGAGTGATCAACTCACTCTGACCTTCATGGCACCATCATCACTAAGATTTGCTCCAAGTCAGATACTTTTGTGACTTAAAGATGAGTCACTGTTTCTAAGCATTTTCAATCTTGTATCATTGTGCAAACACTACCAATACAAAATACAACTGCTGCAGCTCAAAGAGAAAACCCTTCTTCATCTATCCAGGGTTATACTTTGCCAACATTGCCCAGATTTTCTGACAATTATTTTAGATATTCATTCAGAGTTTATGTAAGTCTTTTTCACACATGAGAGAAATAATTTACAACTGCCTGCTGGTTTTCATGTCACCCTGCAGAATTTAATTGTGGTGACCTGGTACAAATGTTACCATGTGCAGTGTACAAAATATGGGGGGTTGGTTAGCTCAGTTGGAAAGATAGTTAGTTGGCGATGCAGAATGATGCTAGCAGTGTGGGTTCAGTTCCCCCACTGCCTGAGGATACCATGAACCACGCACCTTCTCAACCTTGTCCCTTGACCCTCACCACCAGTCTGTCTCTCTCTCTCTATGATGGGAGAACAGCTGCCTACAACTTTCACCTCTGGTGTTTCTGTAAAGGTAAAGAGAAGTAAATTATAAGAGTGCTAAGTCCACCTGTTCTTTCAGAACCAGATTGACAGAAAGCATGGACCAAGTTTCTGCACTTAACAAAACTTGGAAGGGTAGGACAAATGTATGCTATGGATGGAGAGAAAGATGAGGAACACTGGAATTTTTATGAAATATAAAGAATAAGAACAGGAATAGGCCATTTGGCCCTTCAAGCCTGCTCCACCATCTGATATAATCATGGCTGATCATCTAACTTAATACCAAATTCCCTGCTTTCTCCCCGTGACCTTTCGACCCTTTAGCCCTGAGAACAGTATATAACTCCTTAAAAACATTGAAATTTTTTTGGCCTCAACAACTTTCTGTGGCAGAGAATTCCACAGGCTCACCACTCTCTGAGTGAAGACCTTTCTCCTGATTTCAGTTCTAAATGGCCTACCCTATATCCTTAAACTTTGATACCTGTTTATGGACTTATTGATCATCGGGAAAATCCTTTGAGTTTACCCTGTCTAGTTCTGTTAGAATTTTACAAGTTTCTATGAGATCACCCCTCATTCTTCTTCATTCCAGTGAACATAGTCCTAACTTATTTAGTTTTCTTCATACATCAGTCCTGCCATCCCAAGAATCAGTCTGGTAAACCTCTGTTGCACTCCCTCCACAGCCAGAACATCCTTCCTCCAAAAAATGCACACAATTCTCCAGGTATAGTCTTTCTAAGACCCTGTACAATTGCAGCAAACCATCCCTGCTCCTGAAATTGAATCCTCTTTCTATGAGGATACATTTGCTTTCGTTACACCTGCACCTGCATGTTTAGCATCAGTGACATGTGTACATGGACATCCAGCTCCCATTTTCCCAATCTAGCACTATTCAGATAATCAGCTTTACTGATTTTTTTTTTTTTTTTTTGTTTTGACTATCAAAGAGGATAACCTCACATTTATCCACATTAAACTTCATCTGCCATGCATTTGCCAGTCATTCACCTTGTCCAATCACACTGCAGCATCTCTGCATCCTCATCACGGTTCCCACTCCCTCCTGCTTCTGTTGTCTGCAAACTTGAAGATATTACATTTAGTTCCCTCAACTAAATCTCTAATGTATATGGTGAATAATTAAGGTCCAATCACTGATCTCTGTGGTACCCATTAGTTACAGCCCACACCTTAGAAAAAGTCTGCCATCTGTTTGTTCCCCATTATCACTTCCCCTGCTTTTTGCTGTAAAGACCTACACATGTCTTCACTAATCTTTTTCTCTTCACATACCAATAAGAAGTTTTTACAATCAATTTGTATGTTCCCCACAAGCTTACTCTCTCAGTCTATTTTCCCCCCCTTACTATATCCCATTGACCACAATTGCTAAAATCTAAATTGTTCCCAACCCTTACGCTCACTACTTTTTTTTTCTAATTTGGCCAATTTGTTTACCCCCTTCTTTGGATCTAATACTACGCTTAACTTCCCTTGTTAGCCATTGTAGGGCCATCTTTCCCATTTACCTTCTTTATGCTGACAAGAATCAGCTATCTGAGAATCAATCACACAGTTTTGGATGACAGAAGGTCTTTATTATTAATAACTGGTCACTAGTCCAAATCAGCTGTTTGTTGCCAACCAAAGCTCCACTTTACATAACCCTTTGGTTCCAGCTTGTCTGTACACTATACTTCAATTTATTGCTTGAACAAGCACCTTTGTAAACAATGCTTGTAATGAGTGTTGGGTTATTTGCTTTCAAAACATGTAGCAATCCTTTTTTTAATAAATGCTTTGTTTTTCTCATTTCAGTCCACAATTTAAAAATACAGAAAATTAAACAGACAGGTCTTTATACATGAATGCTTAGCCCTGGGGTTGATTGCACATGACTGAATGAATGTTTATATGTACTTACCTTTACTTCCTTTCATTTAGTCTCCAGCTTATCGCTCTCAGAAGATTCGACCAGGAGATGAGGTCATCCAGGTGAATGATATGGTTGTAGTAAGTATTAGGTATCATAACTTTGCATTAGATGATTTAAGTATGCTTCAGATCAGTACATGTCGTTTCTGTAAGTTCTAACTCTTTAACTGGAGCTAATCCTTATCTGCTACTGTATCCATTTACTTTAATTCCTTTTTAATACTATTGAGATAATGTTCCCATTGGCATATTTTCAGTATATAATCTTTTCCATCCTCGAGTTGTTTGCCATAATTTGCAAATCTAAAGAGTTTCGGATAATTTTCGTTTGTGTATATCCCTTAGTATCTTCTGTTTACTGAGCTACCATCCAGATCTACTGACCATTTTAACTTCAAGCCCCATCAACCTTTTTAGTTGAAAACTGCTCGCTGATTATTTTCCTCCAGCTCATTCATTTGAGCTTCCCAGGCATGACTTCCCTTTTAAGTACAAAAGTGACCTTCTTTCTTATCAATTTCTTGTGCACAATAAATACCCTTAAATATTCTCTAGATATTGAGTACCCTTGTTTTCTTCTCTCTGCCCATCTTTCTAATCTGCCCTTTTACTTTTCCTTTTGCATTTTTAATTTTGATTTTTCAATTTGTTGACCCCAAATATTTACCATAAACCTCTTTTCTTTAAACACTGGGTACTGATCCAAGTTAAGTTGATGCACATTTGGAAATTAATCTATTTTTGACAGCTTCCATATGTCAGTATTGTTATATATCGTAAAGACCAAAGAATTCATAGGCTTCATAGAGCAGAAGTCAGTTCTCTCTCTGATCCTTTGCCAATACTGTGTCTGGGAAGTTAGTATGTGCAGATATTGGATAGGCAGATTGAGCTGGGCTGTATGATTGATTGTACTCCAGCTCTCATCTGAACATTAGGAATAGGAACAGGCAGTCTAGCCCTTGACCTTATTCTGCCGTTCAGTATAATCGCAGCTGATCTATATCTTAACTCTGTTACTTCCTGTGCTTTTTACCCCTCAAAGCCTTTAACTCAGTCTTAACTCAGAGGCTAAAAAACAATTTTCAGGGGAAATCATTCCAAACAGTAATTATTTAGACTACCTACAGCTGTGCATGCAATCCTAATCCTGGACAGAATCAGCACCCTTGGGGTCCTCTTGTGGCTCAGCGGTAGTGTTCCTAGCCCTGGACTGAGAGACCCAGGTTCAAGTCCTACCTGCTCTAGAGGAATGTAATAACATCTCTGCACAGGTTGATTAGGAAATATAGGTTAAATGAGGGAAAAAAAAACCTAAATGAGAGGTGAGGAAAAATACAGCATTGATTCAAGTTGGAACAATTTGGTATAATCTCAAAAAACAATTCTCATTTGTTACACTGTGGGTAATGATCCTCTCTTCATTTTTTTTGTTCTGTCTTTCTTTATTCTTAATTATCATTTTATTCGTCAGTGATTGTAAAGTCCCAAAGAAGAAAGCTTCTCAAAGTTCTCAAATCATTTCCAACCTTCAGTGAAATTATACGTGGTCTGCAATGTAACTCTACATATCTCCTTTTCTCGTATCTCTTAAAGTGTCAGTTTGCCTCTTAAAACTATTTTAGCTGATGCGGTAATATCTCTCATAACATGAGGAGTTAGGTCTGGATATTGTGGCATTGATAATCCAACAGATATATGTTGCGACTGACAATTATGTACAAATATTGCTTTCCGCAGACACAAGTGATCCAAGTTAAGGTGGACTGAGATCTTTATACTCTCATGTCATATGCAGTGATGATATAATGAACAAGTCTCTTAAAGATATATTGATTGTGAAGCATAACACGTTTCATTTTTCCAAAGATAAAAACTTAGCCCAAACAGAGATTATGTGGTTATATATAAGCATACGTCGTCAATTCAATAATTATATGAACAATTTACAAAACTAAAATTTCAAATTTCAATGTAACACTTTGGAGGTTTGACAAATTCAGCCTGATCTGATAATCATGTATCCATATTCCAACTTCATTCTTCAAGTGATCAGAGGCAAGATGGAGTAAGAGATCTTTATATGTGCGGGTCACATGATGCAGCGTTGACATTACGAGCATGTCTTTTAAGGTATGCTGACTGTAGAAAGTGTTGTCTCACCATGTCATGTAACCCTTAGAGTCCAGGTTTCATTATTACAAACCCATGTTATGTTTTTTCAAAGGCTTCAACACTAATTCTCACTCCCTTCTGCTACTATTCACCAATCCCCACGCATCATAGGGAAGAGACAGGGGAACTGTTCCCAGCCAGCTGTTGTCTTTTTTTGAGCATGGGTTTGATTGCTGTTGTTTCACAATGCTGCATGCTAACATTTAGGATCTTCTGGGCACCTCAACCTCTTTACCTTAAGACCATCCTAAGACATCTAAGTATAAGTGCTTGGGGCAGCATGGTAGCTCAGTGGGTAGCCCTGCTGCCTCCCAGTGTCAGGGACCCAGGTTTGATTCCACCCTCAGGTGACTGTGAGGAGTTTGCACATTCTCCCTATGTCTGTGTGGATTTCCTCTGGGTGCTCTGGTTTCCTCCCATTAGTCCAAAGATGTGCAGGCTAGGTGGATTGGCCATGCTAAATTGCCCATAGTGTCCGGGGATGTGTAGATTAGCCATATGACATGTAAGGTTACAGGGATAGGGTAGAGGAGTGGGTCTGGGTGGGATGCTCTTTGGAGGTTTGGTATGGACTCATTGGGCTGAATGGTTTGCTTTCACACTGTAGGGATTCTATTAACCGTAAATGTACCAGTCTATTGCTCAGTGATGACACAGAGAGCTGCTGAAATCCTTTGTTGGTCTTAAAGCCTCCTAATTTATTTGTTGACTGACTCCAAAGAGAAACTTTGTTCTAACAATCTTTGGAATGATGGATTTCCCACTTGGAGACTCTTCCTTCTGTTTTTTTTTCCTCCACCATTAGGTTGGATGGACATTGCATAACCTGGTTGCCAAACTGCGGGAGAATCCAAATCAAGTAGTTCTCATTATGAAAAAGGTGCCCCTTGATATATCACCATCGTTCAGTTTCTCTGATGGTGTACAGCAGCAGCAACCCCACTTAACACAGGTGAGGACAATCTCTTACCAAATACCTACTGATAAACAAGTATACAAAGAAATTAGGACAAAAGTCAAAAAGACAATTTATGAAGGCAAAGCAGAACTATGAAACTAACTGATCAAATCATTTAAAACTTTTGGCAGGCATATCAATAAAAACAAAAGTCTAGTGAGAATTGAACCACTAAATATTTACAGGTAGAAGATAATAAAACAGTAATGACAAAGAGATGGTGAAACTTTAATTATTTTGCTTTGGTATTTAGAATGGAGATGGAACATGTAGACATGATATTGAATGATGAGGTAACTAATGAGATTAGTGCATTTAAAATTGGAAAGTAAAAGGCATGTTAAAGATAAAGTCACCATAGTCTTACCAGACCATAGGGCTGCTGTCTCTTTAGAGACACTGGAAGATCACCACGCCTCAGGCAAGAGGAGAGGTTGAGAAGGAGACTCCTTCATGGTAACTCTAGCCAGTGTGGGAAGTGAAGCCGTATTGTTGGTGTCACTCTGCATCACAAAACTAGCCATCCAGCCAACTGAGCTAACCAGACCTACCCCATCCCACCAAAAATAAATAGGATGCACTGTATCCTTGTATTTTGAAAGATTCCAAAGAAGAGATAACCGAAATATTACTGTCGTATTTGATAAATTGTTCAAAAAGATACCACGTTATAGGACAGGTGGATGTTTAAATGTAATTTTTTGTAATTAAGAGAGAAAAACATAACATATTGAGGGACTTACAGTCAGTCACTATAACATCAAGAATCCTTACTTTTAGGAGAGAACAAAATAACATCTACAAATGAGAAATGTAATAATGAATAGCTTGCATGGATTTTTGAAAGGGAAAATTTTGCCTCAACAATCTACTTTGAATTATTTGAGGACGTAACAGAGTAACCAATGACTTTGAGATTTGTTCAGTTATCGGACCCTCCCAGTGCCTCAAATACATGTAAGTATAGTCTTGTTCAAGTAAGAGATGCCTTTGTTTTGGTTGGATAGTCAAACTCTAGTGTTTGTTTCCTTGATGTGCTACTATACAAATCTATACATATTTTTTGAATGAAGTATATTTTTTGAAATAAAATACTTGCACCAGCAAGTAACAATCCCTGTCCAGGCTTGGGGGTAAGAAAAATATTGTTTAGCTTAAGCCAGTTTTTTACACCATTGACAGTCTCATGTGGATTTTAATTTATTATCTGAGGGATTCTTTTCAAGTTGTCAGTTGTCCCTGCTCCCTGACTCGGCTCAGCTAGCTCTGGTGACAGTGCCAAACAACATGGAAGTGTGACCTAGGAGGGGAAACATAAGATCCTTTGACTTCCCACTTAATTGTTACATGAATGGTTAATGTAAACAATCCATCATCACAGGTGATTGCCGTTGTTGTTGAAGCAGTATATCTGGTCATTGATTAAGATGGGTAGATGAATAAAAATTGTATTGATATGTTCTTTCATTAGTGAAATTGAATAAGTGCAGGTTGACACATGATACAGGAAGGGGCCAGTAGGTAATAGTGGATATCATAAGATGGAGGAGCAGAAACAGGCCATTCAGTCCATTGAGTCTGCTTTACCATTCAATGAGATCATGGCTGATCTGACAATCCTCAACTCCATTTTTTGCCTTATCTCCACACCTCTTGATCCCCTTACAGATAAAAATCTATTTATCCCAGCTTTGAACATACTTAACCACTCAGCATTGACAGCCCTTAGCAATAAAGAATTCCACAGATTCACAACCCTCTGAGGGAAGAAACTCCTCCTCATCCATGTCCTAACAGGGCAACCCTTTACTCTTAGATTAATCCCTCTGGTTCTAAACTGTCCTTGCATCTACCCTATGAAGTGCCTTAAGAATCTTGTATATTTCAGTGAGGTCTCTGCTCATTTTTCTAAACTCCAATAAGTTTTGGCCTGACCTATTCACCCTTTCCTCATAAAGCCACACCTCTGCAACCAGGAACAACCTAGTAAACTTTCTCTGACCTCCTCCAATGCCAGTAAATCTTAAATAAGAGAACCAAAACTGTTCAGTATCCAAGCTGTAGTCTAGTTTTTGGTAGTCTTCCGCAAGACTTCCCTATTTTTATGCTTAATACCCTTTGAACTAAAGGCCAACATGCCATTTGCCTTTCTATTACCTGCTGAACTGAATCATCCACGAGGACTCCCAAATCCCTATGTGCTGTAGAGAGATAGTTTCTGAAGAAGGGTCTAGGCCCAAAACGTCAGCTTTCCTGCTCCTCTGATGCTGCTTGGCCTGCTGTGTTCATCCAGCTCTATACCTTGTTACCTCTGTGCTGTAGCCTGGTGCATTTAAATATTCAGGCTCTTCTATTCTTCCTGCCAAAGTACATAACCTCACATTTTCCAACATTATATTTCATCTTATAAGTTTTTGTCCACTCACTTAACCTGCCTATATCCCTCTGCAGACTCTGCCTGTCATCGGCACCAATTGCTTCCCACTTATTTTTAAGTCATCTCCTACAGTGCACTAACTTTCCTCATCCAAATCATTAACATTTATTGCAAATAATTGTGGTCCCAACACTAATCCTTGTGGGATTCCACTAATTTGCCATTCTGAAAATGCTTCCCTTATCATAGAATCCCTTATCCCAACTTTGTATCCTAAGAGTTAGTCAGTCCTTTATTCATGATAACATACTACCTCCAGCACTACTACATCTTCTTTGGAAGTATTTTAAAAGATAAGTACTATATTGAGGAAGTCCTGGGGTCTGTATAATGCAATGCCCAGAGAGCAAAGATAGTAAACAAATGAGATATTTGAATCTGATGTCTGAAGGAACTCCTTTACACAGAATAAGAATTGTCTGCGTGATTCTGGCTGACCAGGAAGCTGAGGTACAGATTCTGGGGATATGAGAAAAGTAACTGATGCCAGACTGGGAGTTCTGGAATGTTAGGGACATGGAGAAATGGTCTCACTTTGGGGTAAGGTTGACTTTGGAATTTACTTTAAAACATACAACACAGCACAGCAATCCATTAAAACTTTTCCTGATCTCCATAACCTTTGATTTCTGTTACTCATTTTATACACCATCAAAAGTTAAAATGACTACCCTAGACTTTTTTTCATGCTAGTGTGCCTCTAGGGAGTGTGTTTGAACATTTGGTATGAGACTGAACTTAGTTGAAATGCTCTTTTGTATAACTAATATCTGCTGTCTTTCTCCTAGGTACTGAGAAGCATGTCAGAAGACGCAGCGGCATTGCTAGACCCAAGTGTGCTCTCTGAGAGGTCTGCCCGGTTAGTTCCAATTTAATTCCTTTCTTCTCCAGGACAGTTTTCTGGACTTGGTTCTTACAAAAGTCTGCATATTTCAGTTCTTAGATGACCAGGCTGGTTTGTGGCCCAGGCTTGTTCATGTTGTTCAGTTCAGTATTGAGTTCATTGACACATTTAATTAATTTTGTCTTTATTAGTATTAGCCATCTTTCAATTGATGCTGGATTAGTAAACACTAGTGATCTTTCTAATCCAGTACATTCCTAATTAATTAACTCTGAAAGAGTAAAGTTAGGTGAAATTCCCACTCATAAAAAACTTTGATCTGATAGATAGTAATGAGCATTTCCCTAGATACAGTGGCAGAATTATGAGCCTCAAATAAGAAAAACTGGATCTAAAATCCAATATGGCTACCTTTCAGCAATTCCCTTGTAGAAGTCAGATCTTGACCCCTCTCTAAGTTTCATGCTTTACTTGAATGAATATCCTTTCTTACTCATCTAGACTACAGACAAAAATGATGGGTCATAGTCCAAATTTGAACTTACTTGCTTTCCCATGATAGTTAGAAAAAAAGTTTATTTTATGTGGATTATGTATTGAATGTGGAATTCTTGTGTTCTCTCCCTTTGTTACAGGTCCTTGGGAATTATTTGTCAAAATGTGGTAAAGTGCTGTGATTTTCTACTACAGTATACGCAGGGTGCAGAGACAGACCCTGTGTCTGCTTCAGCCCATCAACGGATTGAACCCAGTGTTGTTGACGTTAATCTGTCTTACACTGTAATAATCTAACCAACTGTGCTATAAAGTTAAGATCCTTTCCTAAACCAACTGTTGCTTGGGTTATGCAGTCAGTGAGTCCCATTATTTACGTTATGGATAAAAGTAATGAATCCTCAGTACACGATGCTTGTCAAGTTTATCAACTAAACCACACTGACAACGAATGCCCCAGGTTTATTTCAAAATCGGTCCTGATTTATTGTCAGTCGTTAATGGTTTGCTTAGATACAAAAATCAACCAGGATTCATGCTTCTGAGGCTGTTCAGTGACATCTCTGGAGCATGTGTCTGGACATGGATGACAATGCAATCTCAGTGATTTGTGATGCTCCTTGAATTGACTAACCTAGCAATCTTCTTTGTCAAGATTGAGAGATGAAATACTTGTGAGAAATGTCAAATGGAGTACGCATGCAATGAATCAGTGCCTTAAAGAGAATTGGGAGAAACTAGGGCACAAAAAATTTTATATAACACTTTTTATATCTTCCACAACTGGATGAAACTGGATAATAAACTATTTTGTTGCAAGATATTAAGCAGGGAAGTTTTGCTGATCCTTCTGCTTGCTGCTCAGTAAATTAAGGCAAAAGAATGTTCTTGTGGAGCATTGCTTTGTTACAGCAAGCAAAAATGTCCCAGTAAAATAGTTATCTTAATCTGTGGGGGCAGGGACAAGACTCCCATTTCCAACTTTCTACAGCAACAGTTGAAATCAGCTTTGTGCACATGTGCAGTATTAGTAGTGCAGATATGTGCCATGTTCATGGTCTAGCTGCTCTAGCATTTGAGTCACCCTTAGGCAAGATGTTAGGTGACATTGTGTCTTTCAGCAAAATGTGAGTAATAAGTGGTAATGATTCTTATCCAGTCATTAATTCTGGGATCGTAGGGTCCCTTTGTATTAATTTAATGTCATTACTATTGTTGATTGCCCCATAATCAACATCCTGAAGGTTTTCATTGACCAAAAAGTGAACTGAACTACCATATACTTAATGTGGCTACATAAGCAGGTCAGAGGCTAGGAATCCTGCTGACTCTCCAATACCTCTGCACTATTTGTAAGGTGCAAGTCAGGATGTGATGGATTATTTCCCATTTGCCTCTGTGAGTGGAGGTCCATCAATGCTCAAGAAGCTTGACAACATCCAGGACGAAGCAGCTGCTTGATTGGCACCACATCTACCAACATTCACTCCCTCCATCACTGATGCTCAGTAACAAGAGGATCTACAGGAATTCACCAAGGTTCCTCAGACAGCATCTTCCAAACCCACAACCACTATCACCGAGAAAGGTAACAGTAGCAGATACCTGATACCTGGGAACACACCACCTGCAAGCTCCCCTCCAAGCTATTCACTATCCTTGCTTGGAAAAAGATTGCTTTCCCTTCAGTGTCACTGTTTCAAAATCCTGAACCTTCCTCCTCAAAGCACTGTGGGATCTATCTACACCAAATGAACTGCAGCAATTCAAGAAGGCTGCACCACCCCCCCACCCCCACCCACTTGAGAGCAACAAGGGATGGGCAATGAACACTGGCACAGCTAATGACACCCAAATCCCATGAATGCATAATAAATAAAATGCCTACGTGAAGGATATCCTTCCAGTTCAGTAAATAGTATAGTTGGAGGCTTTTCAAATCCCTCAGGTTTTGTTTACAGTGCTCTGTTTCATTGTTTGGTTGCATGTAATGGATTCTGTAATTTGGCCCAGCTATCACTGTTCTCACGGTGAGTATGACCCCATGATCATCAGAGGATGTTTTGCCCATTTATCTCTGCTTAGTTGTTTTGATATGTTTCTTGATACTTAAAAACGAAACTGTGGAGAACAGTGCGCACACAATTCTGCCAAATTAAAATCACAAGTTTCAAAGACTTTCATCTTTTAAAAATTCAGGTTCTCTCAGAGAGAGAGGGTGGGAATCCAACAGGGTACACAACCTGACTACAACACCTTTGAAACTAGTGCAAGCTGTGAGGACAAAGATAAGCCATTGCCATCTGAATCCCACTCTGAAATTGCATCCGAGTCTGATGGAGAAAGTGATCAAATGCAGCCAGTCCAACAGTCTAACACAGAGGGTAAGGAGGTATACATTGCGTTCTCTTTTTCTCTCTCTCTCTCTCTCTCGCCCTTCTCTCTCTCTCTCTCGCCCTTCTCTCTCTCTCTCTCTCTCTCTCTCTCTCTCTGTCTTGCCCTTCTCTTTCTCTCTCCCTCAAGCTCTGGCTCTTCTGTTTCTCTCTCGTCCTTCTTTCTCTCTCTCGGGCTCTTGCCCTTTTCTCTCTCTCTCTCTCGAGCTCTCGCCCTTTTCTCTCTCTCTCGAGCTCTC